CTTCGCTCGCTCTTTCGAGGCGGGAAGGGTATAAGGGTGGGCGGCGAGACAAAGCGGGGGCGTTTCAAGCCAAAGAACTCTTGCAGCGGACATCGGAAGATAAAGACGATTCGGACGGGGGGCGTGTACCGGCCTCGAGGAACATGTCGGCCTCGTGTCGCAGCGTGTCGTGCAGCGTGTTCGGCCTGGCGTCCATGCACGATGTCGACAAAATCCCGCCGAACGCCCGTTGTGCCTTATCGTAAATACAAACTACGCTACTTCTCAAGCTTAAGCTGCCCCGCCCACATCCGTCACCCGTGCCTCCGACCGATAATGTGCAAACTGGCCCAGCACCTGTTCTTCATCAGCCCGTCGTGCTCATGTGACAAGCGCCCGTACTCACAAATAAGTCAAGGAAGATCGTGAGCGCGCTTCCTGTAAAACATAAATATGCAGTAAGTCCGAGTCCCCCGAACGAATTTCGCACCCCGCTCGACGTACCGGCCAACCAACTTGCGTTCACGATCAGATGTTGCCGGTCCAACCCGACGACGAGGATCGACGCAGTGTATGTTGCATTCCCCAAAATTGTGTAAATAAACAATCCGGGTGACAGGCCTTCGCAGCGGGTCGATGTGTTCTTCACTGGAACGCCAAACCAATCGGGGCCATCATCAGTCAGGAACAGGCCACCGAAGCGCGAAGCCCATCAACTTCGGCGTACTCACGTATCTGCGGGACCCGCGAGCCCACTGCAGCGAGGCAAAGATGTATCTGTTAGAGAAGCGGGTCGGGCCGGGCGGGAGTGAAAGACGTACAGTATAGCACGGCACTGATCCAGCCCATGACCTGGCTGCGCCATTCGATGACCTCCTCGGCGCCCTTCGTGGGTGGGACATCGTCGCCGGTGTCCACCTGCGTGCTGACCGCCCATGCGATCACACCTGCCGCGACCACAAATGCAATTGCTCCGGTATAGTGGATGATTTCACGACGTAAAGAGGTCTCCTCTTTCTCCCTCTCTTCAGGAATGTCAGTACCGCCTGCCAGTAGCGGGGCAGACTCATCGGCGAGAACCGGCGCGTCATCGTCCGCCAGCATGGCGGCGGTGTGGGCATGTCTCCATCGATAGTAGTATATCTGTCCCAGGAGTAGTGTATCGCATAGTGTGTACTGGTTCAACGTCAGACGGGCGCCTATCGGACGCTAAGATCTCACCTACCCAAACCGCAAGGAGAATGACAGTAGGCAATAGATTGGCGATGAGCGCGCCGACAAGGTTCAAGATGTCTCCAGCGAGCCAGATAACGACGAACGGAATGCTGACACCCTCGCCTGACTTGAGCTTGTAGTTCTCAATAAGCTGCGGTGAGTATACAAGTATCCTGGCAGCACCCGGACCTCAGATACGTTCGCCACAAATTCTCAAGCGCCGCTCAACGTACCATGTCGCGATGGATATCCAGCCGAGCTACAGAAGCACATGAGCATAGGTCTCCGTACCTAGTGTGTGCATACGCACGACACTGCTTGCAGTCTCTGCTGAACTGAGCATGATGGGATTGATAGTTCTGGTCAATGTCACCGCGCAAGGCAAAAGTTATTGCAGCGTGCGTGACCGCGTCAATAAGGACGGAATTTGCCGCACCGCGGCTGCCGCGCCGATGCCGGGTGACGCGCCGCTCGACGCGCTCGCGCCCGGAACTTTCACACCTTCACTCTTGCCTCGACCTCTCTCCGCCATGAATAACCAACAACAAGAATCGCTGAAGCGGTTTATGAACCAGCTTCAGAAGTCGGGCCGCAGGGTGCCGACAGGTCCGGGCGGCCGACCTCCTGCGGGCTTCTTGGCTGGTGGAGGCCTCGTAGTCGCACTAGTGGCAGGCGGTTTACTCCTGAACGCCTCACTCTTCAACGGTGCGCCCACCTCTCGCCGCATCTGTTGCGCCAATATACCTATTATAGTCTAGTGGACGGTGGTCACCGTGCTATTAAGTACACGAGGTGCGTTTGCTTTGTTATGGCAGCTCATGGCCGCGGTTTACCGAGCGCACTCTACAGGTTGCATGGAGTCACCGAAGATGTGTACAGTGAGGGGACCCATTTTGCGGTGAGCCCATACCATATGAAGAATGACTTTATGCTCATAATGTACAGGTGCCGTGGTTCGAGACGCCCATAACATTCGACATCCGTGCGAAACCGAGGAGTATTGCGAGCTTAACAGGGACGAAGGGTGCGTAGCTCGCCTGCGTCGTAACCGTCTCATTGTCATAGCTTTTATCTCATGCTTGTTATGTCACACAGATCTCCAGATGGTGAACATCACTTGTCGTGTGCTCTCCCGTCCTTCACCCCAGTCGTTGCCTACAATCTACCGTGAGCTGGGACAAGACTACGATGAAAGGGTTTTGCCATCCATTGTGAATGAGGTCTTGAAGAGTGTGGTCGCACAGTTCAACGCCAGTCAGTTAATCACGCAACGTGAGATGGTATGTTTGCTCTCAGCGATGATGAAGCTGGGGCGGCGTTTTACTGACATGGCTTAGGTCTCGAGGTTGGTGCGAGAGAACTTGATGAAGCGTGCGACGCGCTTCAATCTGGTTCTTGACGATGTTTCAATCACACATGTTGCCTTCTCGCCGGAGTTCACACACGCTGTCGAGGCGAAGCAGGTCGCGCAGCAGACTGCACTCCGCGCGGCCTTCCTTGTCGACCAGGCCATTCAAGAGAAGCAGGTAATGTCATTGTATCCGGCTAATTAAGTATAGGTTCTGATGTATGTTTCAGTCTATCATCGTTCGTGCGCAGGGAGAGGCCAAATCCGCGGAGCTCATTGGTGAGGCGATGAAGAAGAACAAGGGTTTCCTGCAGCTCCGCAAACTTGAGGCTGCGCGCGACATCGCGACGCTACTTCAGTCCGGCGGAAATAAGGTCATGCTAGACTCGCAGTCGTTGTTGCTCAACGGTACGTCGCGTTCAGTGACCTCTCCATTCGTATCCTTTGCTGAGATAGGATGTAGTGGCGACGGAAGATCTCAAGGACGCTATACACAAGTAGGATTATCGACCATATATATCGTTGCTTGACCTCATTATTCTCTGTATCCCCATTCGTTCTACTGTGTGAGACGGCTGTCAAGGATACCGTGCTTTCGGATGGAAAATGAATGCGACGCGTAGACACGCGCCGACGACGCGCGCTCCTCAGCGCTTAGTCGCACTGGAAATGAAAGAGCCATCCCAGACACGTAATGATGTAGTGTATATGAATATCTGCCCGTGTATATAAAACCAAGTATGACATAAGATTGCCCCAAATGCGCGTTTCTCTCGTGACCGCGTCGAGTTGTTTGCCTTCCGCTCACGCGCCATCACCTTCGTTTCTCCCTCCATCTTCGCCTCCGCTGTCAGTTTATACCGATTCGTATACATGCATCCCAAATTGCAACGCGCCTCGATTCAGTAAGTATACGTGCACCTTGGAGACGACGGGGTCAGGCTGATCATTCGCTCGCCGCAGGGATGCGTGGTTGGGCTTTGTGCGGTCGCGGTTCGAGCCTCTCGATCAGGCAAACGGGACATACGATCTATCTGCCAGCGAGCGTGCTGAGATGGAGCTTGGGATTATGTCGGAGTCCTTCGCGCTCGCAAAGCAATACCGCAATAAGGTAGTTAGCGGAGCTTGTCGTCTTCCCGCTAAGATCCTCAATTCTATATTCGCCATGGCGCAAGAAGGTTGGGATCCTTCACGCGAAGAATGCCCAGGCAGGTCTACTGGAGCAACTCGTTCTCTGTGGAAGTTTACGCGAGGCTGGATGGGAGTGACAGAGGTATGTCATACATGGAGAGAGGTGAGTTTATCGTCTGTGTTGAGAGTCGGCTACATAGCTGATGCATCGTCTCAGGAATCAGTAGGCTGCCCGGCGCTGTGGACTCATATCCCATGCCTCGGAGTGGAGCCTTCGCGGATGCCAATAATTCTTGCACGCTCCCGTCGACTGCCCCTCACCCTTCGATTCGAACCTCCTTCCAATACGTCCAACGAGCATACAAACAGCATTCTCTCCGCCTTACAGATGTGGCTATCTCCCATTGTTTTGCGACGTACAATGCGTCTGGATGTGGGCTCGCAAGGGGAGGTAAATCAAGTCTTCGGAATCTTCTGCGACAGATGGCTTATGTCTGTGGACACACCCGCGTTGAAGGAACTCGAGTTCAAGCTCGAATCTGGGGCGAACACGACATATCTACGGGAAAACTTCTGTGCAGAGAAAGCAACACCGCCAATCACGCGGCTGAACCTCAGAAACTGTCTCGTTCATCCATCCTCGCCTCTGCTATCCAAGACCCTCACATCTTTGTCTTTGCACACCAGCGAGTGGGCGTCAAGCCTTGCGTACACGACGGATATCAGGCTCATCATCGCTGGCATGGAGAATCTTCAAGAGCTTTGCCTCGCAAACGTAGCCCCTTGCTCCTATGTCCACGACTCGGTCGACGTCATTTTTCCGGGGTGTTTCCGAAAACTCGATGTTAGGCTCGACGAGGACCAAGATGATACCAACATGGCCATGGTCCAATTCCTCAAAGGGGTCGTCCTCCCGGCGGCTGCTCGCGCCTCCTACCAGTTCGACGAACCCGCTGCACTCGCCGAAGAGGATCTACGCAGTCTTGTTCCCGGCCTGCTTTCCGGTGTGAACTGGAAGGAGACCAGGGTGGGTGTGCTGATGACAGCCGACTCCATCTCCCTCCGACCTCTCATCGATACTCAAGATGGAGACAACTACCCTGATTGTCAAACTATACTTGAAGCCGTCGACCAATATGCCTTCGGTACCTGTCAGGACCGGCGGTTCTCTGCAGATATATTCGACACGCACTACTCCAGCCCTTTAGGTTGTCTTGGTGACATGTTGCCGTGCGATCGAATGCAGGCCCTCCATCTCAATGCAGCTGTCTTGGGGTATTTCCTGGGCCAATTCCTCGACAAGAGTGATGAGCAGTTTGTGGAGGAGTGCTCTTCCTTCCGCAACGTGCGAAGGCTCACGGTTGAGTCGTCATATCATCACCACCGACTCTTCTTCAACGTTCTATCTATGCGCCATCCTGCGACAGGAGCACCGGACGCTGTCTTCCCTCGTCTCCGCACACTCGTCCTTCTGCAGAGCTCTTTACCCTCTCATACCTTTCGGATATGGCGCGAGGGGTCGGCAGACGCACGGAGGGAAATCATCCTTGTTCAGGCAGGCTTGGATGACCTTTTGGAATCACGAGCTGCTGCCAACTGTCCCATCGAGGATATCATCGTAGACCAGGCCTATTCTGCGTTGTTTGACTGGTCCTCAATCACCGGCAATACGACGGTCCGCTTCGTGAATACTCGTCGTGCCGCCTGACACGGGATGATACACGCATATCCATCCGCAACTCCTTCTGAGGCCGGCATTACCCGTGCTCTGATACGTCATCTAACTAATGACTTACCTACTCGTGAGGGACGGCATGTAGGGCATGTAGGGCATGTAGTATGAACAATCACTCTACGAATACCATGTAGTGGATCGACCATAGATCGTGTGAGATCCAATGATCTAGCACTGAGTCCGTCACTCAGGGCGTATCATAGTGTATCTCTAGCCTGGTCGTATCTCAGGATGTAATTATATCGCTGCGTGGCAGACAGTCGATGGGATAACCTCAAAAAGTGCGCATCAATCTCTAATGCTGCAAAAATCGCGTGACCGCGTTGACGTGGCACAAAATTACCCAGGCCACGAGCGTCTTGCAATCGACTCCCAACGTCTCTCATCTTGTCGTGACTATGTCTACACGCGGTCAGCCTTTGCATTCGCAGACGGAGTTAGATCGTGCAGCCAAACGAGACTCAATCTAGTAAGCGCTTATTCGAACCCTTCCTAGATCCAGCCATTGACGCATATTCCTTAGCACCGCTTGCCTGGAATTCGTGCGCTCACGTTTCGAAGGTGCCACTGCCTATGGGACGCTTTCTGGCTCCGATGTGGCGGAGCTTGAGTTAGAGACGCTTTCGAGTTGTATCGTGCAAGCAAAACAACATCGAAACGCAGCTGTCAGCGGCGCATGCCGCCTCCCATCCGAAATCCTCGGCTACATCTTTCTACTCGCACAGAAGACGTACTGGGACCCGGATCTCCATGCTATCGGGACACACATGTGGTACAGGGATAATTATCTCTGTGCATCCTCTCGTTCGCGATTTGCTAGAGGTGGTCGCCTACTGGCAAGTGTTTGCCATAGGTGGAGGAATGTCAGTCTTATCATGCATGTCTATAGAGTGAAGCGGCTGACTGAGATACCGTGCGCCGTTTCCCTTCGGTTCAAACCCGCGTTTGATGTCCGCGCGCCGCCGCGGTTATCGGCCCGACAAGGGCTTACCCTGCCCTCCTCCGTTCTCTCCCTTCGGGCCCGCTGCGCTCTCAGCTGTATCTGAGTCTTCATAGAGCTACATGAAGCCCAGTGGAGTAGTATCTGGACTTCGCAGAGCGAGTTGGCACCGCGCAAGGCCGCGGGAGGTGATTTCCGCTAATTTCCGAAGCTTTCCCACGCACTGATCGTAGGCGTTGTACGGTCTGACCACTCGCATAGGGTGTACTGGGAGCTGACCAGGATGAGTTAAAGAGTGAATGCCACTCTATAAGACATAAGACCACTGCTCCTATGAGCCAGCTAGTTCAAGGGCTCGTGAATTCGATTGTACACGTACTTATACGGCAAATATATAAATATCGCCCCGAATTTGAGGGACTTGAACTTACGACTCTTTATAACACGCTCTTCCACTTCAAACGCTACATATCCTCAAATACTATCTCTGACACCATAGGTTCCGCCGTTGGGGTGGCTACTAAGCTCCAGAGTAAATGCTGAAGCGCTGAAGTCGCGGTCAAGCATCAGTGCGTGGGAAAACGTCGGAAATTAGCGGAAATCACCTCCCGCGGCCTTGCGCGGTGCCAACTCGCTCTGCGAAGTCCAGATACTACTCCACTGGGCTTCATGTAGCTCTATGAAGACTCAGATACAGCTGAGAGCGCAGCGGGCCCGAAGGGAGAGAACGGAGGAGGGCAGGGTAAGCCCTTGTCGGGCCGATAACCGCGGCGGCGCGCGGACATCAAACGCGGTTTTGAACCGAAGGGAAACGGCGAACCGTAGACTGAGATCATAGGTATCAATAGGGTGCCCGGAGCTGTGGTCCACAATTTTATGCTCGCCCATGAAGCCTGCAGGCGTATCGCTTGTCCTTACAAGGTCCCAACCACTTCCCCTTGAACTTCGCGTGCAATCAAAGTCTGTTGCTGCATCACGACTGTGGCTGTCACCCGAGGTTCTACAACGAACGAAGCGGCTCTTAATCGGTACCACCGGCGAGCTCGCTACTCGGGACTGGCAAATCATAGCACCCCTATTGGAAACGGACATACCTCTACTGGAAGACCTCGCGATTGTCCTTGAACCCAATAGCGAAGGAGCGTTCCTTTCGGACAAAATCTGCGCGAATACCTGCAAGCCAAATATATCTCGCCTCACCCTTTCGAACTGCGTCATCCATCCATCTTCACAACTCTTTTCCTACCACATGACGTATCTGTTCTTGCGCGTCGCCCATACCCATGCCAGCGCCGCATACACATCCGACCTCCGACCTGTCCTGGCGGGGATGCGTAACCTCCAGGAACTGCATTTGATCAACATCGCCCCCTGCATCATGGAACACGGGTCGTTTGTCCTCAATCTACCGGAAGGCTTTCGCGAACTGCTTATCGTCCTCAACAGAGGCGAAGATGTTGTCTCCGCGGGCATGATCCTCTTCCTTTCCGGTCTCAGTCTTCCCCCGCATGCTACTGCGTTCTACGAGTTCGACCAATTTTTACCCCTGAACGAGGACGATATCCGGAGAAGCATGCCCGGACTCTTCTCTGGATTGGACTGGGAGAGGGTCCCCCAAGAGCTCTATATATGCATCTCTTTCGTCAGCCTCCGACCTCTCGCCGAGTATGCTCAGGTTGATGAGCTTCAAGTCCAAGATCCGGAACCTCATTTCTTGCGTCGAGCGCTCCATTGGTCTATGTTCTTCGACTACAGCAGTCCTGTGACTGTACTCCGTGGAGCGTTCCCGTGCGACAAGCTTCAGGCGCTGCATTTCGACGAAGACGAACTCGGCCGATTTCTGAAGAAAGAACCTTTGGACACATATCGCGCTTTCTCTCACGTGCAGCGGATCACCATCGAGTCTTTAGTAGACGACTTCGACGCGTTCTTCAGCACTCTATCCAGTCCGCGCTTTATAGAAGCGGAAGCCCCTCAATTTGTCTTTCCTCTCCTGCGCGTTCTGGTGTTTCTGAGAACCGTGGACACATCCAACGCGAAAAAAGTCAACGAAGAAAAGCAGGCGATCGATAAAAGCATGGTGCTCATTGAAGCGGGGTTGACCAATATGGTACAACAGCGGGCGGCCGCCGGCCATCCCATAGAGGAGATGCTCGTAGACCAGGCTTACTCCCCGTGGGCCGTATGGGCATCCATGACGGGTGTTCGCGTCCATTTCATTGATAGTTTTACGGCCTAGGCAGTCAGGACACACAGACCTACGTTGACTATCTTTTCGGGTACCTACGACATAACTTGATGGTGAAGTATTGAGATGATTATACCAAACATATGATATTACTCATGAAATGCATTGTTCTACAATCGGCACGACACGTGGTAGACCAGGTGAATATAGTATGTACGTATCGTTCAAGAAGTCTCCTTGTGTATTTCAAGACCTGGTGGAGCACCCAGTGCTATAGGATGTTGTATGAGATGATGATCGGCTGTATTGAACCCGCGGCCACTCACCAGTTTTTATCTGTCCATAGATGAGGAACTGTCCAGAGACCAGGCCCGCCGTCATGACCATTCTAGGACCGAGGCCGGCAAAGAGTCCCTTGAACCCAGCTTGCTTCGCCAACGCGCCCAATCGATACATCATGCTGCCCTCCGGCCCGTGACCTTTGTTGATCTGCGAGAGCAAAGTATCTGCCGGCTGTAGATCGCGTGAGTTCGAGGTTCTAGTGCGGTAGATCTGTGTGGCGAACTTGACTGAGGATAGCGGCAGCAAACCCGGCGATGATACCGGAGCCCAATGAGATACCAAACTCCGAAGTCGCGGATAGGTTCTTCTTGGTGTCTTCTGACATGGAACGCAGGGCAACTTCATGGCAAAACTCGTTGACGGTGAATTGGCCGATCGCGTAGGGTATTTGTTTGAAGAGGATAGGTATAAAGCCTGCATAGAGCCCGCGCACACCCTCTTCGCGAGCCATCTTCGCGAAGCCCGTTGTAAGACCGGATGCGTAACCCTTTTGGGATACGAGTCGTATACGGGTTGCCTCTAGAGGCGTCAACAAGATGTCAGCGAAGAACCTATTGGGAACCATCGTCAGTGAAGTATCCGCATGTGTTACATGCATACGTACTCAGCAACGCTTGCGGCACCGAGATAGATAGCACTGCGGTACTTGACCGCCGTCTTCTCGTCTCCTGCGATCTCCACGAACTTCTTCTTCCATAGTTCATAGCCAGAGAACTTGGCGCCACCCTGCACGAGGTATCCCACAGCAGTAGGACCAAACCCTGTCAACAGTGCAGAGGGACCTTCGGAAGCGACGATCTGCCGTGCCCCGCTGAGGAGATTGTGGCGAGCTAATGCGGGGTCGACCTGAATGCGCGTCTTCACGACGTCAATGGCTATTTCGACAACATCAGCTTCAGTCGAAGAGAACTGACTCGCACATACGTGTCATTCCACCGTGGGTCACTCTTCAAACAAAGTCTCAATATGATAGCCGCTTTCGTTATAGTGAAACACGTACGTGCAACATAGCGCGCCTGGAAGTAAAAGTGAGCACGCGACCTACGCGCCGAACCGAATCACGCACCAGCGAGGAAGAATTTCGAATAATCAGTCGGGGTAAACTGCGGTATCGCAAAGTTTCCGCTGAGTTTCTTCTCTTCGGGCATGTTTATAGTCAAGTAATGGTGGGGGGGGGGTGAAGATGAACGAGGTGCGGAGGTGCCCTGGGCGCGCCGGACGCGAGGTTTATAGATAGGGGCTTGACGTCACCGTTGCCGTAGTAAGCGCCGGTGAGTAAATTGTGCCACACGGTTACCGGCGTGACCGAACGGGCAAGTACACCGAGGTCGACAACAGCAAATGGGGTAGTGTCCTTCGTATATTTACATGATGATAGCAGTATATAGCGAGTGCGTGCAAGCAAATGTGCAAGAGAAATGCGATGACACGATGGCCTCCCCAGGGCGACTAACGTCTCCGATCCTTCGTCACGGTTGTGCGATGGCTCAATTCGGGGACGAGCGCACGGAGGCGCGGAATATGGCTGAGCTCAAGTCCGGAGCAATCATCCAGGACCAGAGATTGCAAGCGTGCGGGGGATCCCGTATCTTCGGTCTCCGCTGCAGTGTCCGCGAGGCGCGCTCTTGTCGATGCCAACTCGAGGAGGGGCCCGATGCTGAGCTGAGGACAGCGGGAGAAGTCGGCACTTCGCAACGAGGGGCAAGGCAGCGATGGCGGCTCCGTTTCATGGGTGGGGACACGCTCAGCCGTCAAAGCTTTGACGACATCGTTCATCTTCTCCCCCGAAGCGCATATCCTCAGCGAAGTGAGAGAATGGCACGCGTTCAAAAAGGTTACCAACATGCCAGGTGATATAGGCGTGGCAACAAGGGTCAGCTCTCGAAGGTTTGTTGCGGGCTTATTGGCATCTTCAATGAGTGTCTTCATGTAGGGAAGGCAGCGCAAGACTGAGCCTAGCCGCAGGACCTGCAGGTTGGGTGTACTGATGTGGTTCAGGATCAAGAGTGGATCGGAGACCGTTTGTAGGTCCAAATGGCGAAGATGAGGGAGGGTGATGATATCTTCACCGAAGCGGTCGACAGAGGGTACTAGCGCTGTGGACGCGAACATCAGGGTTATCTCCTCAAGTGCGGTGTTGGCTCGCAGGAGTTGTCGGATCCCTTCGTAAGAGCCAACGCGCGGATAATTGCGTACGTCAAGGCAAACCAGGTTCCCCGTGCGTGCACTAAGACCATCGAAGTCGCAACTCGACAGGGAATCCAACTTGAGAGAACGTAATGCAAAGGTATCGTCGGGTCCGGCGTTATACATGGGGAACACGCCTCCGGGATTGATGATGTTCAATTCGCGTACTCGGCGTTCGTAATCTTCGAAGCCTACGTCCTGCATTGCCTCGCGGAAGTGGGTGGGATCGACAGATGGCAGTGTCAGGGAGTCGACTCTATCCCAATCCATCCGTCCGAGCTCATCTACGACTAGTTGCCTCCCTTGGGGGTTGAAGCTCATGGTACCGAAGATGGATGATGCGAGCGAGTGACCGAAGACCAATGAAGTGATGTTCCCTCGAGAGCGCTCTATCCAAGCCTTGGCTTTCGCCGCAGCTCTGACAGCGGGCGGCTTTGAAAGATGGAGCGTGTGCCAAAGGGAGGGTGTGGTCAAAGCCACAGATCGCCAGTGCGTGCAGACGTGAGTCAATCGGGCGGGGTATGCGGGGGTGTTGCTGACGTATTGAAAGACAAGGCTCAGCAGTTCGACTGGTAGTTTCGAGATGTGGTTCGTGGAGGCTCGTTTGGCCTCTTCCTGCGCCTCAGTCACGGCGGATTGCAACTCGAGTAGCGTAGTCCGCCTGCTTGCGTTCTTCGCGTCGCTCGGGAGGCGATCAAGCGCGTACTGTGACATCTTCATTGCGTGCTCATACTTCTCGAGCTGTTGAAACAGGCGCGCGGCCCGAAAATATCCGTGCCACTGCTGTGGTGCAACCCCGATGACCTTCTTCGCATCCTGCAGAGCGTCCGCAATCCTCCCAAGCTTCTCATACGCGGCAGCACGTGAGTCGAGGATCTGATAGACCTTTCCGTTGGCCTTTTCGTTCGCCTGTGTATAGGTCTCAGCCTACTTATAACAATCGCGAGAGCAAGATGACGCGCCTTGGTAAAGTATGCTACCGCTTTCTCCGACTGCCCATCGCGGAAGTGCTTCACACCCTCGTTGTAGGAGGCTTTCCAGGCAGCGTCTCGCGACATATGGAGCAGTAGATGCAGCAGTCGAGAACGGCCGCACGATAGTAACTTCCGAGCTGCTGAGGTGGTGGTGGTGCTTGGGAAACCTGAACGCGTTCGCAACGCGTCCATGCTTCGCAGTAAACAAACGCGGTCACATGAGATACCGTTGATCTCAAAAGCCGCAATAAAGCACTTTCCGCCTGTAACTCCCGGGACAAGAAACAATCTGCTTACTCGACGCACGATGCGTGCCATTTCGCGTGAAGGGAAAGAGTGATGGATGAAGGTTCAAGCTTAGGGCAATAATGCATTCTTTCTACAGTTTACACGATACACTGTCGCGGTAATACTCTCCCATGACCATCCCTTTCTCACAGGCATTGACTATACTGTGGGCATATTTCAGCATGTTAAAGTATGATGGGGGTAAGATCCTACGTACGTAGTCATTGAGCGTCGTGCAAGTAAACGGAGAAGCGCAGGTCGTGGGACCCGTGAAGCTGTACATCAAGTCAGCATCTCGAAGCCGATCATTTCCATCATGCGTGCACGTACCCGGTACCTCCGCACTGAGCATATTGTGCGGCAGTTGCACCAGATCCAGGACTTGCCACGGCAGTCGAAGCAGGAGCGACGGTTGTCGCAGCCTTGGCTGTGGTTGTAGGAGCCGCCACGGTAGTTGGACTGGCAGGCTTGGCGGAAGAAGAGGGAGCGGGTTGTGCGGAGCCACTGCAGCTGAAGACGTTCGGTCCCGGCACGGTGTAGTTCTTGGGAGCGGGGTAGTAGATGTTGATGGTGACTCCGGGGTCAGTGCCTTTGTAGGTCTTTGAGCAAGATGGCCAAGAAGAGCAAGATGACAACCCATACTGTGGTAAGCACCAGGGAACGATACCGTGGCGGGCTGCGTACTGCCACCACCGCTGATCGACATCTGTGCGCACTCCATCTGGAACAAGCGTCAGCGGCTTACGCACATATGATGGGTGATAACTTACGTAGAACTGAGCACCGGGATAACTGGATGCTGCATGGAGAGCTACATTCTGTGTAAGACCTCCGCAATTGAAGAACCGCATAACAGGCTCACCGATGATCTCCACACGCAGGAGATAGTCTCCCGCCTCGATACACTCCGGAATTGGGAAGGAAACCTTTCCCTTGGCAGCGACTAGGCGATCCACACCCCAGGATCCATCGCTCGCCATTCCGTCCTCCCAGATCTTGAACCACCCAAGACCTGTCACGTCGGTTTGGAGAGCGTTCGGTACCTTGGCCCTACAGAGTGTCAGATAGGTTTCTCAACCAAGCTACATGATGATACGTACAAGTAAGCAATAACAGGGCCCTTGTGCCCAGGGTCGATGGGGTCGGCCGGGTCCGACGGGTCCGCACCTGCAAGTGTATGGTGCCATTCCGCGGTCACAGTATCGCCCGCTTTAGCGTCGATGACGACGGTTGAGACGGGCTGAACGTATGGGTTGATTCCTCCGTTGCAAATCAAGTCGTTGGAGGTGACATCAGTTATAGGCTATGAGTGTCATTGAGTATGGTGCTGAAAGCTCTGAGACGATGATGAACGCACGCCGTCGTAGCTTGGTACTCGGATTCCGTTGATGTGCCCCTGATCGACGCCGTTGACGTACACCTCCTGCAATAACTGATGAGCTTCCAGAGTATCGACGTAGCTAGAGACACCTGCCTGGAAGATCGAGTGGGCGCTGGTTGAGGCGCCCAGCGCGATCAGTGTGAGGATCGAGGAGATACCCATGTTAAGCTTGAGTTGTGGAGATGGGGAAAAGGGCGCGGCAAGTGCTCGAGATGCAGCAGTACTGGCTGCCGTCGCTTATGAGTCTTGCGAGCTTCGACGTCAGTGCTAAAAAGAGGCAAAGTCTCTGCGTGTCAGCCAGCCACCGTACCGCCGTTGTGTGCTCCGAGGTTTAGACTCGTCGCGCGAGGACCCCGAAGTTCCGCCTGAATCTGAATGGATCGCCGCTCCTTGTGAGAGAAGCGTGTTGCCTTAAAGACAGCCAGCTGACGGGCACCATTCAGGGATAAACGATATATGATCGCGGACATATGCCCTTCCAGCCGGTATCAACCAAAGCAGGTACCCGGCGAGCTGCTCTGAATTGAGAGATGTCAAGACGTCTCTCATTGAATGGGCTGGCATTCGGTCACGACAGTATAGTATAACAGAGACTATCGCATGATTTGCCGCGCAAGTCTGGTCCTTGTGTGCTAGCGTCTAGAGAAGATCGCGTCCCAGGCACGTCGACGTCGGCATCGACGCGTTAAAGTGGTGTCGATATTTGTCGCTCGCCGAAATGAGCCGGACGAGCGACTGCCGGTACGCTGACAGCTCGCAACGAGATATACTCAGCGCTGGATAGGAGGCGTATGTGCGTGCACTTCCTTGCACCTCGCGGTCGCAGGACGAGTTGCGAGCAGCTGTGTTCGCCGTTCGCCGTTCGCGTGCGACGCGATTCCTCATGCGACACGATCACGTGAGTTTATGTGTATGTAGATAACGTATCATGAAAACGAATTGCTGGCGCGGTGGTCGCACTTGCTGGGATCGGGCAGGGACAACCCACATCAAAAGCCAGATATGTGGCTCTATCATTGCTGCGTGCATCACAATCTCCAGGAAAATCGTACATATTACACCATTATCATCGGGCTGTCCCTTGAGTCCTTGCTGCCTCCTAGTCTGATCTCCAAACCCTCGGCCTCGTCCACCTACAGGCACTGACTATACTGCACATAACGTTGAGGTTTAGATCTGAGCATAGAGTAAGTAGTCTTGACTTACGTAGTCATTCAGTTTGGTGCAGGTGTACGGCGAAGTACAAGCTGTCGGGCCCGTGTAGCTGATGAACAGTCAGCATCTTCGAGCAGCGGACTGAAGTTTTTCAGCAAACATACCCAGTCCCCCCACACTGCGCATACTGGGCGGCGGTATTACCGGAGCTCGGACTTGCCGTAGCGGCCGCGGATGTGCTAGTCACTACCAGCTTCGACGATGTCGTAGAAGCAGCGGCAGTCGTAGTCGGCTTGACTGAGGCCGAGGTAGTCGGGCTAGTGCTTCCGCCACAAGTGAAGACACTTGGTCCCGGAATGGTGTAGTTGGTAAGCGGAGGGTAATAGATGTTGACGGTGATTCCAGGGTCGGTGCCTTGGCGACGATGTTAGTGAAGGCGCTGGTGGACACGAGGTTCAAAGAAGGCGCGCACCCTTGTATGCGCCTGGGAAGCTGACTGTGCTCGGCTTCGTGCTCCCGCCACCACTGATTGACATTTGTGCGCATTCCATCTACAGACGAAATGTGAGATCCTTTTCCCACGCGTAACTTTGCATACCACGCACATAGAGTTGAGCTCCAGGGTAGGTGGACGCCCCATGGAGCGCTTCAGCTTGTCAGCATCAATAGACCAGATACAAGCCTGCTAGTCTCACCGATGATCTCTACGCGCAGAAGATACTGCCCCGCCTCGATGCAGGACGGAATAGGGAACGAAACTTTTCCTTTGGCTGCGATGAGACGATCGACACCCCACGTCCCGTCGCTGGACATGCCGTCCTCCCAGATCTTGAACCAGGCCAAACCCGTCACATCGGATTGAAGAGCGTCCGGCACCTTTGCTCTACATTATTTCAGTGATGTGTTCGGGCGTTGGCTGCTGGTAAGCGACATACAGGTAGGCAATGACAGGGCCTTTGTGGCTTGAGTCGATGGGGTCAGCTGGGTCCGAGGGGTCTGCGCCAGCTATACTGTGGTGCCACTCAGAAGTGATGGTGTCCCCGGCCTTCGCGGCGATGATTACCGTAGACATAGGCTGGTGGTAGGGATTGATCCCCCCATTGCAGATTACGTCGTTGGACGTGACGTCGGTGATGGGCTAGGGTAAGACCGGAGTTAACGCGACACTTGATCAAGGCGAGGCTCGTTCAAACACGCACACCATCATAATCTGGCACTCGGATACCATTGATGTGGCCTTGGTCGACGCCATTCACGTACACTTCCTATAGGGCGTGTTAATCTTGTACCGATCGATCTCATAGAGGCTTGCCTGGAAGATCGTGTGCGCTTGACTCGCGGCGACGAGCGCAAGGAGAGCAAGAGTCGAGGAGAAGCCCATGTTCGGAGAAGCGGCGCTCTGGATGGAACAAGGTGGGCGATCTTCGTTCTTAAGAGCCACCTCGCAGATCATGCCATCAAGTACCTGAAGTGATATTCACAGCACTGCTCGCTGTATTGCCTCTCTATGCCCACTTCCTTCTCCGACGTTCAGACTTGCCGTGTAAGTGTGCCGAAGTTCAGCCTGAATTTCAGTTAAAATGAATGCTCTGGCCCATGCCACGCCACGCTGGTGACTAGCAGCTGACAGGCACATCGACTATAGTCCTTGAAAGCGTTTACACGCAAGTCTGTCTTTCAACGAGCCAAGACAGAAGGCAAAGGCACACTGCGTGGCACGCCGCACGAGCGTGCTCTGACTCTGCACATTATGAGGCAAATCGCAATTGATGGGCCAAAAGAACCGGAGAAGATATACAGCACGCTCGCGAGACCCAACGTTCCAGAAACAGAATTCAGACCAGAACCTCTTAGCAGGTGAAGACATCCGGACCAGGAATGTCGTAGCTCGTCGGAACAGGGTAGTACAGGTTGAAGGTGATGCCGGGGTCAGAACCTATACAACATATGAGTATACAAGCCGTGGTGGGAAAGTAAGACGGTCTTACCCTTGTACGCGCCAGGGAAGCTGACCGTCGCGGGCGACGTGCTGCCACCTCCACTGATAGACATCTGAGCACATTCCATCTGCACGGCACATTTAGTACCCTATCGCCAATCAGAAGCGCATAACACTCACGTAAAGTTGTGCGCCAGGGTATGAAGATGCCGCGTGAAGAGCTGCGTCGTATGTCAGCATGTATCGTCCATAGATAGAAGGCCCCTACGCACCGATGATCTCGACGCGCAACAGATACTCTCCAGCCGCGATACACTTCGGAATGTCGAACGTCACTTTGCCCTTGTTCGCGATAAGACGGTCTACACCCCAAGTACCATCGCTCGCAAGACCATCCTCCCAGATCTTGAACCACCCGAGACCAGTCACGTCAGTCTGGAGAGCATCGGGGACCTTCGCCCTGTAAGTACGTTCATCAGCATGAGAAGCAGTATACTCTGAACGCAGAAGCTCACATATACGCGATGACTGGTCCTTTGTGGCTGGCGTCAATTGGGTCAGCCGGGTCGGACGCGTCTGCGCCAGAAAGTGTGTGGTGCCACTCGGCGGTGATGGAATCGCCGGCGTTAGCGTTGATGATGACTTGAGAGATTGGAGTATGGTAGGGGTTGATGCCTCCGTTGCAGATCACATCGTTCGATGTGACATCCGTGATGGGCTACGAGAAAACATTGTCAGTGAAGAGCTCGGAAGAAGACGTGTAAAGGGTGCGCACTCCATCGTAATCCGGTACGCGGATACCGTTGATATGGCCCTGGTCGACGCCGTTCACGTAGACCTCTTGGAAGATCGTGTGTGCCTGACTTGACGCTGCGAGCGCGACGAGAGGTAGCAGAAGCCCGAACATATCGACCACAGCGCGAGTAGCTGCTTGCACCGGCGACACCCCCGTCGTCATTTTATATGCTGCCGTACCCCAAAACGCTGCGCCAGAAATGCCTCGCAACGTAGACGAGAAGCGCGTAGGGGAAGCATCCGAGCCGAGTGCCCCATCCGTGCCAAGTCTGCGAGGTTCAGCCTGAACCTGTCTGTGCTGACGACATTGAAGTTCGCGGACGCGCCTGGACGTGATCATGCACGAAATCGGAAGTACGGGCGGCAATAGTCCGGCTTCCGAGTTGATGATGCTGCCATATGGAGGTTTAGGCTGACCGTAGACGAGAACGCAGAAGAGGTATCAGGTGGCCTTTGCGATCCGACGTCGTTCCAGAATATAACCGTCGACGCAGCGTGTGTGTTCTAGACGGCCTGATCTCAACGGCAAGGCTGCTTTAGGTAGGTCGGGGATGATCAACAGTCTATAATGACAATTATACAATACCCACATCAGACACCCTGAGCTTGCGAGATACTCAATCCTCCCGCCATGCAACGTCGCCTGCATTCCAACGGTCTCCCCACATGACCCGTTTATGATATATTTTTCGTGCGTCACGGAACTCGCGCACGAAATCATCAACCTCCCTGCCTCCGAGCTGCGTCGCGGAACCATCGGCTGTCGGACGAACGAACGATGAAGCGAGAGCCTCGGATAGATCGTCCTGAGCCGTAGTTGCATGACGCAAGCGGAGAAGCAGGAATTGAGCCGTGTACCGCTTCGTTCATCAAGTCAGCTAGGATGTTGTCAGAAGAGGTTACGAGATAGACGTACCTGATATAGCTCTTTCTGCTCGCGCTGCAGTTCAGCCCATCTTGCCTCCAAAGCCTTCGCATCATTATATGTCGCTTGTGTTTCCCCTCTTAGCCTGAACAGGTCGTCCTGCAGAGAAAGGTTATGCTCTGGAGCATATCAGAACACGCTCAACATATAACATCGGCGTAAGGAACTTACTGGCTATGGACTCATTGGCAGATGCGAGTTCCGCCTGGGCTTGCAGTAATTCCTTGACTTGAGGAAGTTCATGAAATACGGCATCGGAATAGGCGGGGTCCACGAGCAGGTCTTCGAGGTCCTCTCGTCTATCGACGGTATGAGACCCGATCTCGAGGGACACTGGTACTTGCGCACGTTAGGTGTGATAGAGATGGGAATTCGCGGGTCAGGGATGTTTCCGTAGCCATGGTCGATCAATATGAGTGATGAATATTATGTGAAGATGGTGGTCGGAACGAGAGACGCGCCACATGCGCGCCGTCGCGACGCGACTAAGTGACAGGCAGCGCGTCATCGACGTCGAGCTCGAGCCGCAGGCGTCGGTCTACTGCTGGTCCTGAACCACCATCTCTCTGTGCTGCTGAGCTCAAGGGACTTGCTTGAGTACACTGTAGGGCTCGATCATGTCGAGCTCTGTGTCCCACCTTACGAACGACCTGGTGCTATTACCAGTTCCATCGCAACGCTCGGCTTCCTCATTCACTGCTACATCCAACTCCGAGTCCAAAGATGCTCTGCGCTCACTCTATCTCTCGCTGACGCCGCCTTTGTCCTCATCATCCATCTCAGATGCGGTACAGTTTCTTCAGCAGCACGAGTTCAGCACCAGTGGGCAGTCACTAGGGGCAACCGACGACGAAGAGCGCAGCATATATGAAGCCGTTGTCGGCAAGCTGGCAGCAGGAATCTACGCTCAGGCTCTCGATACCTTCTTGAACGAGGCCAGTGCTGCAGAGTCTGAGGGAGATTGGTGGGCGGACGTCGAGCGTTCGCAGCTCAATGCCGCATATTACCTATTACAGAGTTCGTGCATCCTTTGAAATATCTGTTAGGTATCACTGATCCCATTATACAGCTCTTCCAAAGCGCATCTTTGACCTCTCTGTGGAGGTACAACGTGCACTCCGAACACAGAGTCGTCAATTCCACATGTCAATGCTCCGCCCGTCCCATCTAAATCGGGTCCTGTACACAGACGACAAACCACACAATGCAATCCTCACGACTCTCTTCCCTCATCTACATACGCATCCATATGCTATGCCTTTCTCGGCCTTCCGCTTGCATACGCCGCTACCGACTCCGGCATCCCTAACCCTCGCGCAGTCGAAGTCCGCCCTTTCGTCCTTCGTACACGCCGTTGCGCACTTCTTCAAGTCAATACCATTCTTCTTGACGCTACCTCTCGAGCTTACCCGACAAGAATGCGCTGTCAAACGTCGCGAGCTCGAGGCACTGCGCGACTCGCGGGCTGAAGTGCTTGGTACTCTGACGCTTCGACGCGATTACCTTGCCTCTGCGCTCAGGACGGGCGAAATCAAGGGCGCCAAGCTTCACTCGTTCGTCGAGAGTGTCAACCAGGTGGTTGCGGGAGAGGACTATGGGCGCTCCCCCAAAGACATCGCACCGAGCCAGCTTCTTGCGACTGCTCTGAACGAGACGCTGCCTAAACATGTCGCCCTACATCGCGCGCAAATGCAAGATAGTGGCCTCGCAAGGCCAGGACGATGGACTCTGCGATGGCCACGACTTGTCCTCGGCCCTCCGCTAGTGCTGCTGGGAATCAGGCAGGCATTCGCATCGCGAGAGACGCTGGCGACGGTTGCGCACGACGCTCTGGAGACCATACATCGGTTCTATCACGGGTGGCTGCTTGATCCCATCAAGGATATCCTGCACACCGTGCGTTCAGGCGGAGAGGAGGGCGTCATCGTGCAGAAGGAGAGCATTGACGCTGACCTTCAAGTATGTTGATTCTTGACAGACGGTCACCTTCGCATTCTCACGCATATCCTACAGTCGTTATCGCGCATGGCTCTGGATCTCGCACGAGACAAACTCGGCTATGGACAGGAGCAGCTCGTGGCATTGGCAGACAAGGTCAAGCACGGCGACCTCACGCCCATTCTTGAGATCTACGAAGCGGATATCAAGAGCCCTGTTCGGTCGGCTGTCAGCGGCACACTCTTGCGCAACCTCTTCATTCAAGTGCAAAAGGCGAAGGTGCGCTCCAACCGCTAGCCGATCTGTGGTCGTTACTTGACGTACAGCTACACGCAGGTTGACATCGATCAAGCGCTTGCCGGGATTGATAAGCTTCTCAAGTCACAAGAACTCACGTTCGCATTCGTCGGTGTTGCACCTGCGTTTGCTCTGGTCTACCTAGCCGGCGGCGGACTACGTGCCGCTTGGCGTGGCGGAGCGGGTGCAGGACAGTACGGTGGCCGGCGGCTGCGCGCCAAAGCCTGGCTGGCAATCCGCCGCACGGAACGTCTCCTCGTATCCAAGCCGACATCGGATGACCACATCGCGAGCAAAGACGCCAGCATCCCGCCCCTGACCGCAGGCCTACTTCTACTCTCCGTCTCATCGCTGCGCAGCTACGCCGAGCGGTGCCTTCCTGCGAGGTCTCGACTGCAGACGGGATTCTTGGAAGACGTCGAAGATTTGGAGAACCCGAGTCTGGATAGGGATGAGAAGGTCAAGGTCGTCGAGCGCATGTGGAGGAACTGGGGCGATATTCTGGGATGGAGAAGGGGTGCAGGGACCATCGCAACACTATAGAGAATGCTATTTCTGTCCACCTGTCAGTGGAACACATTAATACGATTGAACTGTATAGTAACAATCCAATTTTACGCGCATTGTAATGCTTGCCCCCTTCAATGGCTATGACGCGCAGCATCACCTTTGTTGCGCAGCTCGCGGAGAACAAGGTTCCAGTGTCTGTCAAGGCCGAAAGGCGGACAGTCGTTTCCCAGACCCGCACAGTAAGGTGTCCTCGAATGAGCCATGCGGATAGTACTCAGTGAGCAGAACGTTTCTGCAACAATAGCTTGGCGCATCAGCATCAACGGCAGAATTCGGCCCGGGCTTTTCCCCTCGGGCGTGGCTTGAACAACCTTGCCCAGCGACCACTACCATCCATCTGAGCGGCAAGCAATTGACTCTTGTGCGCTCTCCTGTGCTATTTAATCTCATCACATCTCCATGGAAACCCCAAGATAATTTCCGCCGCCCGAGTCCTCTCGACTCACGGCAGCGCAGCTTCTGCAAAGGCGGGAGGTCAAGATGCGGGACTCAGAATAGACTTGCTGCGCTGCGCACGCCACCGGCGGTGACACTTCGCTAAGTGCAGGGATGCAAATAGAAGTAAGATATAGAACATCCTCGCATACGCCAGACTTGTCTTCCCTGCACGAACACGTCCATTTCCCGAGTGCCCTTGCGGCCGCTGGCAAGCAGCCCTTTTGTGACGCTATGCGACTCCCTCTCTTGCCTTTCTTTGCGCTCGGCGCGTTCGTACGCGCCGACCAGCTGGTCATATCATACCCGAAGAACACCGCAGTCATGTATAACTCTGACAATACGTCGAGCAGCTCGACCAGCACGGCCGACGCGTCGACGTTCTCTGGCACCGCTGCGTATAACTTGACGGAACTCGCTGTTCCTGCATTACCAAGTACGATGCCGGCGCTGTCTTTCGGCGTTCAACTCTACGAAGGGGGCATGACCAATTTGAGCATCCCACTCAACGGTGCATTCATGGGTTTTTCCATCGAGATGTCAGTCTCCGTCCAAGTCAGTGCGTATATCCCCCCAGAGTCTGCTATACACAGTATTGACGGCGTTTGCAGTGGGACACAACAGGTGCAGTTCTAGGCCGGATGATGGGATGGATATGGAACACTGACTGCGTCCTTCCGCCCTCAGCTCTGCAATCAGCGTACCATTCCTGAACCTTATGGCAAACCTCAAGGAACGAGCGGGATGGGTGCAGATCCGCGTCGGCGGTAACTCGCAGGAGCAAGCTGAATGGAAGGGCGACTCACTTTCGGGTTACTCCGCTGGTACGATTCTGGGCAAGGACACTACGAACGTGACGAACCCGACTGCCACACCGCCGCTCGAATACACGGACGACCTCTTCGTGATGCTCAACTCGATCACCGACTTTGCGAACGTCAGGTGGTATCTCGGTGCGTTCATGTTCGGTTGCCGACCTTCGCCTCTACTGAGCTATTTCGGGATAGGCGTGCCCTTCTATACTGTCGATCCGGTTGACATGGACATTGTTGAAGTTGCTGACAAGTATCTCGGAGATCGTGTACTTGCATATCAAGTGGGGAATGAGCCGGACTACTACGGATACAATGGGCGCGATCATCGAGCAGATGTACGAGAGGTCGCTTTCATCACTATGCCTGCAGTTGCTGACGCGTATCAGGGCTACGCTCCCGTCAACTACACGGCCGACTTCGGTACGTTCATGACACAACTGGAGGCCAACACTAGTATCACGCGTGGCGGCAAGTCCTGGTTGGTACCGAGTATCTCGGCCACTGTTTGGAACATCAATGATGTTCTGTCAACTGGCCTAATCACGAGCTATATCGACGACTTGTATGCTATGACTGTGGAACGGTGTGTCTCAAGCTACTCTACATCAAGGCAATGGCTCACGAACACCATGTACCTAGCTATCCCGACGATAACTGTGCCGCCGTGTACGGCACTGGGACTGCCGTCGATCCCAACAGCGTCATCTGGGAATACACCAGCCACCAACAGGTCGTTGATGTGCTTTCTTACTATGAATACTCGTCAGCGTACGCGGTCGCTCAAAATGTGCCATACATCATGTTCGAGACCAACACAGCTTCTTGTACGTTGACTTGATCGCACACTCGGACGAAGTCACTTATAGACATGCGCAGGTTCGGGTTTCCCCGGTGTCAGCGATGCATTTATGAGCGCTCTGTGGGCTGTCGACTGGTCCGGTATGTCTAGCATGTTCTCTCTCACGATCTATATGCTGAGGGGTTATCAGCCACACTGGCTTACTATAACTTCAGTGGGGCTTTGTACCATATCGGAGGTTCGTCGGTGTCATGTACGTCGTCGAATTTCGCCTCCTGAACGACTTTCGCAGGTCAATCCGCCTACTATAATGCGTTCACGCCACCGCCAACCAATCAAAGCAGTTACAAAGGCTGGACCGTCGGTCCAGTGTACGCACTATTATTTTCCACTCGAGCGTTCGCTCACATAGCTTGACAGATACTACGCGGCACTAGTCATGGCCGAGGCCCTGGGGCCCTCCAATACCTCTCAGATTGTCGACCTCTTCCAGAATTCATACAACACGTACACACCGGGCTGGGCGATCTATGAAAATGGTAGCCCGAAGAAGGTGTTGATGATCAACTACCTGTCCGATTCGACTGGCGCGTCGGACTACACTGCGTCAATTGCGATTGGTGGCGGTACAACCGGGACGACTTCTACCACGCCATCATCGGTCAAGGTCAAGTACTTGACGGCGCCGACAATCACGTCGAAGCAGAATATGACATGGGCAGGGCAGGTGCGTTGCGGCATATTTGTCTCGTGTCCATCGAAGCATTGCTTACAAGCTCTGCCACCTTCGTTCCGCAGACGCTCGGAGATCACCTGTCATCTGATGGCCGACTGCAGGGCGATCTTGATGTACAGACCGTCACATGCGATACGACAAACCTTGTATGCGACATCACAGTACCCGCGCCGGGACTCGCGCTCGTATTCCTGGATGACGACTCTTACAACGAGGTCACTCCCAGCAGTACGCTCACGTTCCCGACAACATACGTCACCGCCACTGTCAACACCGCACAGGTTGACCCAAGTGTGCTGGCGACCTCGAATGGGCATGCCAATATGGGAGGACGTAGAGACTCAACAAGTCCTGGGAGCCGCTCTGGGGCCTGGTCCCACCGCACAGCGGTGCCCGGTATGATAGCCATCCTCGCTGGCATGTTCCTAGGTGTACTGCTTGTTGCGAGATAGCCAGAGGGATGTAAAGATTTAGTGTACACTGAGAGATGAATCGTATAGCTGCTTGTACAGATCCTCTCCGTACCTGGAAGAGCGGGGTGTTATCGGGATATTGTTTTTCAACACGTCGGGGTTATCGGCCCGGTTCCGGCGATGTCCGAAAGCAATGACGCCGCACGTCGGACGAGGTTCGCCACAACTTCACCTGGTCCTGGCCACCATCATAAGCACTCAAGCAACATCTCGATTCTACAACATCTAGCGTGGCAATAGAACCCTAGCTTCCTCGCCGTCTTCCGCCCGAGCGTCAGTAACGGGCTCTGGTGACTGCACCCATGACCTATCGAACTCTACGTTCTGAGAAGAGCGCCAACATACGGCGCACTAAAGGGTCCTCGGCATCTCCCATGCTTTATCGTGGTACTGGGGTTACTCTGGCATCACAGTATGCATATGGTGACAAGGTGTTGAAATTGTTGCTCGGTGGTGTCAACCGACGTGGATTGCGCGAGCGCTCAGGCTGGTAATGCGCCATCGCAGTGCGGCTCGTAGTAGCTAGAATGGACACGGGGAAGAAAGATCGAGACACGATACGTTATCGGCGGAACAGTGGCTCTCACGATACGCTAGGACGTCTTACAACCTCCCCTCCTCACATGGTCTCGACCGCTCAAACTATTCTCCAGACCGACCTTTGAAGCCTGAGGCGTACTCTTTCCGGACCTTAAGCAGAAGCCATCACTTCGTAACCCTCCAGGCGGAGCTCCGTTTTCTGACGTCGACACCTTGTCAATCTACTCGTTCAAGGCTTTCCTTGCACCACCACTATGCGCGTTAGATCTCAGGCGTCGGGCAAAGACGAAAGCAGGACGAGCAGTGTCGCTCTATCTGGGAAAGAGGCTCACGAGTACGAGATCTCACAGGTAGAGGACACGATACAAGAATCCCCCGCGACCTGGCACGAGCTCCACGACTACTACACACGCTACCCTAATGCTTGGGCTCGGTTCCGGTGAGCATGGCATCCGTGCATGACGGTGTGGAGAATTGACCATTGTTTGCACGATAGGGACTTCATTCGTGAGCCTGCGGCTGAAGCATTGGGCACCATGATCCTCATTGTATTTGGGTAGGTCACCCCGTCATTCATGTAAACAAAGGGGGGCTCATATTGTCACGCATTAGCAATGGTGTGGACTGTCAGGTTGTACTGTCCGGCAACACCGGAGTAGCGCCGTCGGCAAAAGGCGAATACCTCTCCATCTCATTCATATGGGCCGTCGGTATGTTATGAGTCGTACAACAGGGCTCCATCACCTGCTCATTCTTAGTGTAGGCGCCGCTCTAGGCGTCTGGGTGTCGGCGGGCATCTCTGGCGGGCATTGCAACCCGGTCATCACTCTCGCACTCGCAATGTTCCGCGGCTTTTCTTGGAAAAAGGTTCCAGGGTACTGGCTTGGTCAGCTCTTCGGTGCCTGGCTGGGTGCTATGCTCACTTATGCCAACTACTTCCACGCTATCGACATCTTCGAGGGTGGTAAGGGCGTCCGCACAGTCCCCGGCACGGCCTCACTCTTCGCTGTGTATTCGGTACGTCCAGTCCTCTATTCGCCGGGAAAGGACCTATCACGCTCAGTGTCTATGTTCAGCTCAACTATATGCCGTCGGCTGCTTGCTTCTTTGACGAGTTCTTGGGAACGTTCATCCTCGTGGTGGTGGTATTCGCTGTAACCGACAAGCATAACGGTCCACCTCCCGCCGGCCTGCTTCCTCTCGTCATCTTTCTCCTTGTCCTCGGTTTGGGCGCGGGATGGGGCATGCAGACAGGCTACGCCATCAATCCTGCAAGAGGTATGTGCTCAACCCATCTTCCGCTCCTGTGATCCGACGGCTCGAGCGCTTGTTAACCGAAGCACTAGATCTCGGCCCGAGAATCATGACGTCTATGGTCGGCTATGGTAGCGCAGGTACGCCATGTGCGAACTTTTGTCTGCCTTGCTCGACGCTGACAGCATCTCAGTATACAACTATCGCAGTCAGTTCTGGCTGTGGTGCATCGTCTGCGGTCCACTAGCAGGTGGACTCACGGGGGCGCTCTTCTACGACCTCTTCATCTTCACGGGTGGAGAGAGTTGGGTCAATCGCCCAAGCGCTTCAGCTCGCAGACACTTTGCCAGAGCACCTCCCGGCGAACGTCCCAACCCCATCGCGGGACCGACTGTCGACACGGAAGAAAGACCGAACGTTGAAGTTGTTTGATGGATTCTGGTTGTTTTAGTCCTTCTTTGGTTCACAATACATGATTCTTTTATGAATGGGGGGATGGAAATGGGGCATAAGTACATGCAGCGAGCCTCAGGTGATGTCACGCCTTGAAATTGCCAACTGACACAATGTCGACTCAAACATCTCTTTTGGTTCATTGAGAACGACTACAGGGAATCAATGCTTGGTGTGTGGGGACGCTACAGTAAGGATCTATGCTGACGGGCGGTGAAAGCCCGCCTATCGATATCATCAAGTAGAGGTAATCCAACGTGGCACCCACGTGGCACCTCGCGTGGGTTAATTTCCCACACCGGAACTGCTTCGACTCAACCTTCCGGAAACCCTACAGAAACCGTGATGGACGAGCCACGTCTTCTCTGCCCATGGCTGTCTTGCACCAGTACACGGAATGCGCCCTTCGGCCATCTCTGTGCTACGAAGCGTGCATGTAAAGGATGATCGTCTATCTAAGACGGTACTGTTATTCTTAGAATATGCGCAATATCATGACGACGAAAACACCGGAGTTCGAGTCCAAGCTTCTCCCGCCCAGCGGGCCCGCGTGACTCGAGCTGGCGTATCGTTCGACCCCTTGAGTCTGTGCACTGCAGGAACCGCCTACTCATATCTACCGGCCACACAACATGGTGGGTTATTCAGTTTGGCTCGCAGAATCGTCCACGTCTAAAGTATCTATTCAGAGCTATATCAAGATATCAACAGCACTAGTGATGATTCTTCACGGTATGCGGCCCTTGGTCGCTCAGTTACGCTGTTTTCGTAACGCACGTCAGCAAGACTGTTCGTTGCCTTCGGGAAAGCTCCAACCTCGGTATTGCTATGTCTGTGAGTGATTATCACCTTCGCTCCTACATAGGATGCGGTCCATACTTCAGAAAGCCATACCGTCAACGGCTCTTCAAGTCCCTAGAGGCTCGGGGTACGTGCGTGCCGGACGATGATCCCAGATAAGAACGTACCTAACGCTGTGCAATCCTCCACATACTACGGCGTCTTCCATGTGAGGAAGCTCACGACTCTGAATAGGCCAGGGATGGAGCATATCCCATGAGGGCCGACACACATACAGTAACTGTTATCTGGAGTTAGAGCGTTCTTGCGATGTTGACCCGCAGGGGAACTTGACCCGCGACAGACATCCTGCCCAAGGACATCAGTAAACCGCAGTCGTGTATCGCTGCTTCCTCGTAATCTCCTCGCTCTGGGATCGCTTCTTAATAATGGTTAATTGGACAGCAGACACAACTCTGTTTAGCGAGGCGCTATCTCTCGAGAAGACGACGGCGGTGCTGTGTGGACTATACTTGTATGCTCTCCTGCCTTCTTTGGATTGTCCGGGCCTGATCCTCGTCGTACAGTTACGAGTTTGTACTTGCCCTTCCATACGATTGGGAGATCGTCCGAAGCCGGATGCCCTACGCGCAGACCCTCAGGTCTCTGGCGGGATACATAGTACGTTATCCATCAGGGGATGTCCGATTCCTCGACTGACGATGTTGACATAGCTGTACACGCTCTCTCGGTATCTGACCTTTGTGTATTGTGTCTGTTCATGCCTGCTATTGAACAATTACCGATCGTTCGACTGCGAGGTACTGTTTTGGAAAGCGGCGGTCTCTGTATAACGCTCACATGTTCGTCGTTTAGGCGCTCGTCAAGATAATCACGGTCAGTATCACGGGAGCCACGAGACTTCTCGAATACAGCTCATACTTCCTTCGTTCCAGTTCTGCGGAACCATGGGTCCTACATGCGCATCCTCATCCCTCTTCCTTCGTGCGTACGTGATCAGACCTTTGGTAGATGTCTCGAACATGCTCGCTCACTAGTTGATGTTAGTGGTGCCATCTGGAAGTGGAACCGATTCATCGTCGCCTGCCTATTGCTTCCTCTCACTGCCTCATACATCTGCAGTATCAGAAGTAAGTCTCGCGACATGGTCGAGGACCTACTAGTCACGATGTGCTAACGACCATGCACTTCCAGCTGTCATCTTGGTTAGATCACTCACTTCAACGACTTGTCATCCAAACCTAACTTAGACGTATGTTTCCGCTAGGTCACTGCCACAGACACTGTCTTAGATATGGAGCAATGCGCATCGACCAACATCAGCGAAGCAAAGGCTACCGCGATCACGACTACCTTGACCGATGTCACTCTCCTAACCTTTTTCTTACTGGGCCTGCGGAAAGGTCGGAAAGAAGCTCGAGGCTTTCCGCTGTGGCATATGCTCTGGGATCAGGCAAGCCTTGCGCTTGTTCAATGTCTGCTCGCGCTCACCGTCAGAAGGGCCTGATCTACCTTTGTCTGGCCATTGCCATCGGGGTTCCGTCGGCGGTTGGTCGTTCCTCATTCATGATACACGACGACATGATACTTACAGGCGCTTTCAGGTCTTTCTCGTGTTGGATCTCAACGGTTGAGTGTTCTTCAATAACCTTGATACCAGAGCTGACACTCAATGCCCAACCGATCCAGAGGTCATAAACACGGTATACTACCTACCGACCTCATATTGCGATCCTATTCTGACTATTGCTCCATCTAGATCTTCATTACCCCTCCAAGTGAGCCAGTGACTCTCCACCTATACTAAGCAGCACTGATCGCGGTCTTCTTGAACCTCGCAACAGTCCTGATGCCGTACGTCTAGTCTCTGACTCTGAGATCGGAAGACGTCTCTTGCTCACGTGGTCACGCCACAGCGCCATCGCCGCAACTCGTTTCCAGCGTGCTCTAACGAAGCGCTCAAACAGCACTATCTCAGTGTTGAGTCCCTCTGACTATCATTAGAGGTGCTGTGCCGACTGAATGTGAATGGCGCAGATGGAATGTCCCCGTCGTCCGGCCCAGAGCGCCCGAGTCTTATGAGCTGCAGGATAGCAAGGCCGAGATCAACATGAGTGGTTGAGACGTACCATACAGTGATAGGATGGTCGGGACTCGCTTGTGTACCAGTAGACGTGGGGTCTTGCAGACAGAGAAGATGACTATGTGAACGAGAATGTATATGTATACACCACCACACCTCCGGTCCATGCAGCAACATCTACGCGAAATACATCAAATCATTCTTCTTCTTACTCTGCACCTCCGCAATCCCGCTCAAGAAATGCTCATGACCCAACCTCGTCGCGCCCTCCCTAAGCGCAATCATACCTGCCTCAACACACACAGCCTTGAGCTGCGCACCGTTGAACTCGTCCGTGCTCCGCGCGAGCTCTTCGTAGTTGACATCGGGGCCGATGGTCATCTTACGGGAGTGGATCTCGAGGATGCGGGCACGGGCGGTCTCGTTGGGTAAGGGGAACTCGATCTTACGGTCGAGACGGCCGGAACGGAGGAGGGCGGGGTCGAGGATGTCGATACGGTTCGTCGCGGCGATGACCTTCATAAAGAACATGTTAGCGTGCATGTTCAACTTGTATATATTGCAAGAGTATTTACCTTTATCCTCTCGTCCGAGCTGAACCCATCAAGCTGATTCAGCAACTCCAACATCGTCCTCTGTACCTCACGATCACCGCTCTTCTCCGAGTCGAACCGCTTGGTACCGATGGCATCCAACTCATCAATGAAGATGATCGCCGGCGCCTTCTCCTTTGCGAGTTCGAAGGCATCACGAACGAGTTTGGCGCCGTCACCGATGAACATCTGGACGAGAGAGGGTCCGGCAAGTTTCAGGTAGCAAGCGTTGGTTTGGGCGGCACAGGCACGGGCGAGAAGGGTCTTGCCGGTTCCTTTGTAAGGTGTGGTTCATGTCAGTATAAAGGCGAGCACGTGCGGGCAAGGGGTGTGGCTGACCTGGAGGACCATACATCAAGCAACCTTTTGGTGGCCTAATTCCGAGCGTCTTGAACCTGTCCGCCTGCTCCATAGGCCACACGATCGCCTCGACCAACTCCTCGATCTGCTTCTCCAGACCACCGATATCCGTATACGTCTCTGTAGGCCGCTCGTCGACCTCCATGGCCTTTACTCGCGAGTCGTATTCAGCGGGTAAGGTGTCGAGGATAAGGTAAGAGTCTTTGTTCACGCCGATGAGGTCGGACGGGCGCAGTTTCTCTGCGGGCACGAGACCGATGAGAGGGAGAAAGACTGTTTGGCGGGTTGAGGTCTTGATGACGGCGCTCTTGCCTTGGCGCATCGAGTCCAAGTCCTGGTTCGCGCCGTCCTCGTCGCCTTCTGGTGCAACATCCAGGATCTATCCAAGTATAGCATCATTAGTCCATTCAGACCACGTTCTCTGAGAGCTTACCTCGACGACGTTTCCAACGAGATACGGCAAGACCTTATTCTGCTTGACCTTCTCTCCGTTCTCCCGAATCTTCTCCTTCATCACGCTCTGTTCGTGCTGCAACCGCGTCGTCTCGCTTCTGATAACCTTCATGTCATTATCGATGAGTCGCGTGCGCTGGATGATGTCGTCCGTGCTGAGTTGCAATATCTCTTCGGGAATATCCGCCCAGGTCTCTTCTTCCGGTACGTCGGGCGTCGTGTCCATCTCGGCTTCGGGTGCGGGCGCAGAGTCGGATGATGCGGCCGGCGCGGGCGATTTGCCATTATTGTTGTTCCCACTTGGCGGTGGGTTGGGAGGTGGTGCTGAAGACATATTCGTGAGAAGCTCGTATAATGTGGAGAGGTACGAGCTGGGGTTGGAGGTGAAGGCGGGTGGAGAGCGACGCGTACGCGGCCTTGGGCGAGTGTGACAAACGCGTGAGAGTCACATCAATAGGTGCGTAACTCAGGGGCGGGCGCGTTCCAGGTCGCGTCCTTTGCCCAGAATCAACAATGGCTGCCGTCGAAGCGAGCTCAGACGAAAAGGCGCGTTATAATCAGGCAAAGAAGGAGCTTCTAGCGGCTCTGGCCAAGAAGCGGCAATTGGATAAGCAATTGGTACGCGACAAATATGATTATTAGACGCCATGCTCATGCGCGCGCCACTGCAGGCACAGCTCGAGGTGCACATCTACGAGGTCGAGGGACAGTATCTCCTCGAGACATCTAGTCACTCGGGCGGAAATATAATCCACGGGTTTGACGGGTACCTGAAGAACCAAGTCACGAAGAAGCGCTACGAGATCCAAGACCACGACCGGCTATTCTCCACCAGTTCCCTCACCTACGCCAAGGCGAGTTGACCCCTCCATTCACTCGCCTCCTGCTATATCCTTCAATCTCCCACGGATATAGTCCTTGGATCTCAGCGAGCAGGGGGACGAGTCGGCTACCACCACCAACGACGATTACCGCGCGCTCACCACCGTCGTGCTTCCTTCCGCTACCCGTCCGCCAGAGATCAGTCCCGCTCAAGCAAAGAAGAACAGAGATAGAGAGTATCAGAGGAGAAAGAGGGCCCAGCAGAGTAGACACATATCTGAGACGCCTGGACTCAGTGACGATGACGGTCCCCGACGCAAGCGAGCGCGATACGAAGATTAGCGCCTGCTCGCCTTCAAATGTAAATTGGTATGCCTCTTCCGTGCTCTTCCATTCATATGTATTCTGACGGCTGTCAAACCTATACAGTATTGTCTAGTCTTCTCGTCGCACTCGTCGGATGTACCATCAACGGTCGCTTGGCATCCCCATACCCCGCTCGCTCTGTCCCGCTTTCCTCACGCCCATCCCGCTCTCCACCTCCTGCTCGAACTTCTTTAAACTTATGTATATATCATACAACACGCATGTAACATGACCGTCTTCCTCTGACTTCTATACATCGAGACTGGCGAGGAACGCCTTGACCGCATTCTCTTCCTTCCCGCCTCCTTCAGGATCCGCAGCTTCGATACACCTGACAACCGCAATCGTCTGCTTCGGTTCTTTACAGCTGACCCATACCCTCCCGTTGACACCCACAGCCGCGTCAAGCGGGAACTTCGAACCCAGTAGAGGAAGCAAGTAGTGCTTCGGGTCGAGTAAACTAAAGCGGGCAAAAATTATGAGTGGCGCCGCACGCGAGGGATGATAAGAGACAACTCGTACTTGCGACACATCTTGAGACTGCAAGAAGTAACGAATCCGCCTTTGAGCTCGCCATAACCCTCGCTCTTGCGCGTCTGGGCGTCAAAGCACTCGATCTCGGGGTCCATATCTTTGTTCGCGAGGCTCACGCGGGCGTAAACTAGCGATCCGATCTACACGACCTTCTTTAGCGTCTTCGCTCAGGATCAATTATAATAGGATATAGGATAGAGACGTACCTTGAGATTCGGTTTCGAGCGCTTCGTAGCGCCCTCGAACGCCAGCCCGTCCAACGTCGCGAACTGTCCCGCGCCAATATCGACGCGGTACCCCTCGCCCGCTCTTAGCGCCACAGTACCAACTACCGGTTCTTGCGGCGCGGGCACGTACTATCCTGGCCAGAGTTCCCAGTCAGCTTCTCCCATATATTTCCACAAGGCCGAGGGAAAGAACGCACCCGCCGCGCCGAGTTATTCTCGATCCACCATCGTGCATTGTTCGCAGAGTGTTGGAGGTCGCCTGCGCGTGTGCTCAAGACTGTCGAGGCGGGTGATTGGATGAGACCAGGTCCCAGCTTGAGGTTTACGTGTGAGGCCGGGACGCGTTCGCCGGGGAGAATGACGGGCATGGTGAGTGATCGGAGGAAGGGTGAAGCGGTGAGAAATTGGTCGGTGTACGCGCGCGGCGTGGTTGTTTCTTGCCACATGCCACCACCGGTGTTCAGCGCCTACCCCGACTCATTGAGACGAGCTTCTCTCAGGTCATCTCACAGACCAGTATGATACGTGCCCGCACTCGTATGCCCTCCTTGGGAGGGCAACCCTATCTTACACGGCGCCCGAGTCTCCCGCGCGAGATCGTATCTTCCCCGACACCAACTGATCTTAGCATCGCTTTCGGGCTCCAGCCAATGGGCAAACACCCCAATGAACCCTCCTCGTTTTTGGGTTCTAAATGCCGTGATGGCCGTCGGTGTGAACGTGCTTGATCCTTGCCACCCTCTCTCCTCGGCTCTCCTTCGAGACCGCTATGGGTCCTTCCACCGAACCAGGATAGCTCCTGATGTCTATCCTCGATCAAACGCAGCCCTCTCCCCTTCCCTTCGCGCGGTGGGGCAACTACATGTTCGACCAGATGACGGCACGTATTGCAACTCGAGAAACCCAAGTCGTCGGATCCGTCAAGAACGATCCACTACAAACACGATCGAAGACGCAGTAAGAGCGACTTTGCCACCAGGTGGCCTGTCATCTCCCGCAACTCTATTGGTGTATACGTACTGGGACGCTCAAGAAGATCAATACGGAGCGGGATATCTTCTCAACAGCTGTCCGTTCACAGCTCTTTCATACCATACCTTCGCGTATCCCAACTTGTTTGCAGTCGTCATGACCCCTGATGGTCGCTGGCCTGCATCTCCGGCATAGACCCGCGTTGCAATAGTATCTCACATACGCTCATTCCTTAAAGCCTGGCTCATCTTGAAATCCAACGTTGGACTGGACCCGCTATGCCATCTCTTATCCCGTTGGATAATGTGCTCGGAGCATTCTTGATTGGTCTTATCCTGTCTACGCTGTGGGCTCTTCCCTCTTCCACTCACCGCTCTATATCACTCACACATTCACCTACAGTGTATATGGGATTACATGTCTACAACTTTTTCTCTACTTTACGGACCACTGCGAACGAGACGGATTGATTGTGAAGGGTCTGGTGCGTTAACAAGAGCAGCGTGCCCCATCATCTTCACTTACCCTTGACAGGTCACCGCTGTTTGGTGAGGTCCATGAATGCAGCCCATCCCGATACTCAACGAGCAAAGGGGGCTGGACACGCTACACGTGGCACTCTTGTCCCTCGGACTGTATCATTATACTGTCTCAAACTTCGGCGACTATTCCGCACTTGGCGTACATTGGCAAGCCATTATCTTACAACCCCATGCCACAGAACACTGATGTCCTTTCAGGAGCCTGGCGGTGGGTCATTTTTAATCACATCGGGCAATTCTGTCTTATCGGGTTTATCGGGTTTATCGGGCGTAGGTTCAAGTCATGATCGGGGTGAGCACCCATCGCGGTCAGCCGAACCTGCACGCCTTTACCACCCCTCTAGTCGTTGTTGAGCCTTTTAGTACAAAGGTGCGTCTAGACGTACGTGAACCCCGCATTGGCTTGATCGCCATCTTTCCAGTTTCTTCGCCTACCGCGTATACGTCAGTAAGTGTATATCTGACCACCGACATGATCTTCGTACGGACTCATGTCCTTCAAGTTAGCAAAAGACGGCGTGCCGTTCCGCTATTCATAGTATGTTCCTATCCCAATATCTCCAGTGAGCGAGGACATAATATGAAATGCAGATCTTGCTATCGTTTGCACAGACAGGTGGACATTTTGCTCCGAGACTTCTGACGTCTGTTCTTCATGCTGAACTGGCCTCGCAGTATTCGGGACAAGTACGGATCGTTCCTGTCAATGGTTACTTGACTACTGATTCTTCTGGTCTACTCGTAGGTTATGGCTGCCGAGTGTATGTAGCGATCGCGTATGTACGAAGGATCGATTTCCCTGATCATTCATCAGGTTCGCCGTTACTGGTTTTAGCGACTTCGGCCCGATCACCGTGAGTCTGAACTATTCGACCCTGTCGCAACAAAGCTGACTCTTACGCAGCCGTTCGCCCCGGGTGCGCTCGGGGCAGATCTACTTTGCGATTGGTCAATAGCTGCAGCCATGATCTACCATCTTTATCACAGCCGCTCCATGGTTTCATCGTCCGTATCGTCTCCCTACTCGTCGCAATGCGCACGTCGTGAACATTCGCCTAGTACCAATCGCATCGTCAATCTGCTGATCAAGTATACGATCAACACCTGTAAGCTCCCTCATCTCTCGAGACATCCTTTCATACGGAGCTTGACTGCCGGAATAGGTTTACTTGAAGCGCATGTTTCATTTCCTGTAGCTGTACGCGTGCACAGCGACTGACGTGTTCATATCTAGCATCTGCACTGTCCCATGCCTTGTGATCGTAAGCCTTCGATACGGCGTGGAGCGCGTCCTCGCCGTCGTCACTGAATCATATGCTCCAGTGGCTCGTTCAAATGAACTCCTTCACGCTTGTCTACGCACCGTTCTACTTCGTTCTTATCCGTCGTGAGTACATCTATACCAGCTCCTTCGATTGCCGTGGCGCTGACGCATGATGATACATAGTGTACTCGTGCTCTCTGTTATGCTCGTACGTGCCTCAACTTCTCGGCGTCGATCCCTGAGGCTAATGAGTTTTGCGTGCGTTCAGCCTGAACAATCGCGATCATCTGCGCGGCATGAATCAACGAATGGAAGCCATCACAATGTCCAGTGCGTTCCAAGCAGCAGCAGCCTCAGCAGGTGATCGCGCACTACACTCTTCGGGTGAAGTATCGCAAAGCGCGGATGAAACCTTTCAACTGCACTCGCATGGCAAGCTGGAGACAGAAATCCCTGCTGCACAGCTGGCCCAGGACGTTCTTGTTTAGGAGTTCTGTGTACCGCTAAAAGCTTGTCATGATTGTCGTCGTAGACATTCCGTTCGATGTCTCTTGCCTCAGTTCAATCCGTCGGCACTTCGGACTCTTCTGGCTTGTCTTGGTACACATTTATGGCATGCCATCTACATGAGGCACATATATAGTCATGTACTTCACTTTCTCTATGAGTTCAGGATCCAATCAGCATGCGCACGTCCGTGTCTAAGCAAGTTCGACGCTCACTCGGTTGTCGTACGTGGCTACCGCTAGCTAGCGTTGCTGGGTACCGTTACTCACGTGACCTTCGGGAATGACCCGCATCATGATCGCATCATGACACGGCTCCGGCTCGCTTCCCAGCCACCAACTTCTCCATGAGCCGCATATCAAGCGGGGAGATAGCTTCACAGTACCAGTGTCGAAGTTCGAGGCGGAGAGTGGCAGTGAGCACAACGTATTCGAGGAGGATAGTCGCTTTGCGGCTTGGCTCGAAGTATCAGGGATCCCAGCACCCAGGCTGCGCCTCGACAGCGTGCGCATCGCCGACTCAGCGCTCAAGCTCAGCACACAGCCGCTCAGGCCACTCAGCGCTTAGAACGGCCTCATTGGCGTAGCATTACCGCTTCTCAGAGCACATCAGCCTCCACGATCCAGCTAACAGAGCCATGACGCTACCTGTACCTTGCCAATCACGATATCGCAGCGTAGATCCCGTACGCTAACGAGGGCTTTGTCGCCAGTCGGGCCAATCCATGAGTTGCACACCCAGATTGATTACATATATGGTACAAAGAGATATCTGGTGCACTACCAAACACACAATCCTGTCTGCAATATAGGCTATGGATGTTATCTCCGACGCTCTGATGCAAACTGGACTTCGGCCGTATTCTTTCACAGTAAGGTCTTTGACAGCTAGACAGCGGTTGGTTCACCACTTCCGACGTTTCTGCGCAGAGAACAACGTCAGCGAGTGGCCGCTTACCGCTACAGTCACGAAGATCGACATACTCGTCAATAGAACGGGCAGAATCGACGTCTGCCACATCTTCGCGCTCGCCAGAAGAGCTGTGCTCGCGAGTTGTATCGCCACATGGTTCCTTGATCTCCTTGCCCAAATCGGCGCTGTCGGCGTCAGATCTCTCGAAGGCATCCCAAGACTCTCCTATGGCCAATTTACTGCGCCTGACGGCTCTGCGCAGTGGACATCGTATATCAATGAGCCTATCACCGTACATCGAAGGCGGACTCACTGAGAGTCTGTATCTCCTGAGGAGTCTTCTCGGTGAACTTTCTCATCGAAGTTCATATCCGTCGCGGCGGGCACTGCCTCTATGCGGAAGAAGCTCGGTGTATGCGACCTAGTCGAACAAGTCAGACGAGGTTCAGCGAGTGAACATAAGAGCACGAACCCTATCTCGAGGTCCGCACCCTCTGTAGCGCGTGGCGCGGCGCCGAACTCGATCTCTCCGAGCGAGTTCTGTCCTTTTCGGGTAGGAGCAGTGGGCTTCCAACCAAATCGGCCGCCGACAGAGCAGAGGATGCGCCAGTATGCCCCGCGCGCTTCAGATGTCACGCCGAAAAGAGCGAAGATAGTGAAGGCGAGTACGGGGGAGGTCCATCGGGTGAAGTATATCTGTGCTAGATCTGCAACCCCACCGTCCGCCGTCATATCGGCATACGACGCAGTGCCCGGTTCCCAATCATCAGCATGCAGGTATTCCCAGCCCGGGTAAAAGGGGAAGTCTTTCGGAGGGGCAAGCGCCGCTACGATGATCATGGTTATGTTCACGATACCGATAGGCAATGTGAGTAAGATGTCGATGGTGGCGATGGCGAGGATGCGGAGATAGTTGGAATGGGAGACCGAGGAGTTGCTACGGAGGAACCTATCGACGTCCTTTCTCTGTCGAAGATAGGTCCGCACCAACTTCGCTGAAGGCATGACAGACCCATTAGCGGCTTTGGGAACAGAGAGAGCAGACATGATCACGCACGGTAGTAGAAGATGACAGAGACCAAAGGAGGAAGAACACCCCACGACTCCTCAATGAGGACTTCAAGTATTGATACGTACGAGGTGTCCGCACAACCAAAGCCCTCAATGATCTCGAATCGAGCGGACTGGTTGATGTAGTCTGGGCGATAACTCAGCGCGAAACATCAACCTCACGGGCTTGTACTCACATATGGGGCCAGCTATCAGCAGTGGGATGACTAAACCCACACCCCACTCCACGGCAAGATCCCATCGCTTCTGCGCACAGATGTCAGTCAATCAATACGAGCGCCCGGTTGTGAAAGTGCGGAGAATACTCACAGCTGCAATACTGGGAGGCTCCACCGACTGGAGACTGACGATCAAGTACAGGCGGCGAGAGATGATAAGAGTTGCCATGGGCTTGACGAAGTAGACGATGAGCTCGAGTCGCGAATCTGTGCATTGGGCTTAGTCCAAATCAACCCGTACACAGATAATCGATAGCCCGAGACATACCAATGTCACACCAGACGTACAACTTGACGTCGTAATTGTCGGACCATACGATGGAGTCTATAGCATTCGCGATGCTTCCAAGAAAGAGCCAGAAGCACAACAAAGTCAGGCCGAGGTTCCAACTCTGACGAACAGTGTTCGAGGCGAGTACCATGAGTAGCATCACCGAAGATATTAAGCTGGCAACGGTGAAGAGCGGGTAAGTGGGATCGACCGCGCCCATGGTTGTCCAGTCGATGTCTGGTACTCCCCATGGCACCGGGACAAGGTTATATACCCTCTGCTATTGCTTCGAAGATGTCAGCTCGCGCAGTCTACAGCGAATGAGGTATGCAATTCACGGATTGGGCTCATGACACGCCTGCAGCCTGTTGCGAGGTGGTCATCGCCTTCTCCGATTAGGTAGGTAGCACGAAGCATGACATCGCATTGCAGGGTGCTGCAGCCCCAAAGAGCAATACGCGGGTGCAGATTGAGTCAAGGGTATGGAGCAAATATCGTTGATTAACCATGTAGGCGGGAGAAGCAGATGGCTGACGCATAAGGCTAGTATGAATGGGTCCGCTATGATCTTCTCCACTTAAGAGTGGAGGACGCTGAATCGCTGAGACTGGAGTTGCACCATCCCAGAGACTGCATCAAGGCAGATGTACTCTCGAATCAGGACTAGCGTGGAGAGTGAGCAGGGAACATTCGGGGAGTCTGGCGGGTGCGCACCATTCCAGAGACACTCCACAGCTAACAGTCCGCGCGCCTAGCTCATCAAGCCCGCTACGCCCCCGCCGGCGCTTTACTAGGCAGGTCTCGTCGTGGTGTTGCTCAGTCGCGCGCTTCATTCTCGCAGCCGAAGTCGCAAGCTGTCGCGAGCCTCCCGGTCCCGCATTGGCGACAGTGGTCTTTGTGTGATGAAGGTGATGCACACGGATGACGATATATTGTCCGAACTGCCAAGTTCGGACTGGTGGCCCAATACCAGCACAATATACTGTGCAGTCCTCTTCAGCACCTTCGTCCGTAGTTTCTCTAGCCACGTGCAATAGACGTACCATAATACCTGCCTTCGAGCGCCTTCAATCACCAACTCGTCCACCATCGCGTACTGACGCGTCCCCCTCTCGGCGCCACAGCACCAGCCGCCGTCCATTGCGGCGCGGAAATATCACTCACTGCTAGCCCAGCCAAGCTTGCCCTACATGCGCCCAGCCAGGGAAGGAGAAACACGCCTTCATCTCTCCCGTTCTTGCGCAACTCATCGCGCGTTGTTCGCCGAGTGTGCCCAGACGCGTGCTTAAGACCGTCAAAGAGGGTGACCAGAGGGGTCCGGCTCCTAGCTGGAAGTTGATGTGAGAGATAAGGACGCGTTCGCCGGGGAGAATGACGGGCATGGTGCGTGGGTGGGAGGGAGGAAGATGGTGAGAAATTGAGTGCGCTGACGCTTCGTCGGTCTGGACAAAACGTAGTTGTTTCTTGCCATCATCATTGGACCCATAGCCTGTCGAACTACTCGTCCGTACTACGATGCTTAGTGGATCATGGTATTGATGCTCCTCGCTTGATGGTTCTGATCCAGCTATGCCCATTCAGCGCCTATGGGCCTCCAGCTTATGAGGCGCTTCTCAGGCACCTCCCGCGTGTCACGGACAAACGGGGATATTTGGCATCTATGCTACTCGCACTACAGATGTCATTGGTATGGGACACCGTGTATCTTCTATGGCCATCCAAGACCCATTATCGTGGTGTCGACGGGTAGTACTTTGATGGTCAATATCTGAAACGGATCGTCGGCGACCTACACAAGCGGCCGTAACGGACCAGGGTCAAGCTGAACATCACCTCAGTGTCATCAAGATAGGAAATGCGTTCATCCTGTATGGCTCACGTCCCAATCCTATCTGCGGATCCCTTGCAACTCCTGATATCTCCACGCACTGCGGTGTCAGTAGACATGGTGTATTGGATGACCAAGGCGTCTATCCGTTATGTTCGCTTCTTCCGCCCGCGTCCTTCACACCTTGCCCTGTGGGCATCAATCTTCATACCACCTGGATGCGTTCCGGCACCACTGACTTGCGCCCGCTCGGTACCGCAACAGCAGTAAGGCTTTGTTTAAAGACTGCAGGTAGCGGACTCTCCCCCATCAACCGTGTGGGTCCTGACTAACCAACTTCAGCTTTGACCAGAATGTCGCCCCCTGTTATCCCGCTGAATACCGTTGATGGGCCTTTACTTATTGGAACCATCCTGTCAACAATGTGAGTACCTTCGGCACGTCACAATGTAGCCTTGACTCAACGATATGTAGTGTATACGGGATAACCTGCCTTCAGATGTTCCTATACTTCACGGAGCATTGCCGGCGGGACACTTGGATACTAAAGAGCCTTGTAAGTTCTTCACATATACGATGTCGCGGTGACTCAACGCCATCAAGGTTGTTGTCGTTTGGTGAGTGCACGCGTCGTTCACCGCCACCTTTGTTGACCCCTCGCGAAGGGTGCTGGACTCGCTCCACGTCGCATTCATCACTCAGATTCTCTACGTCTACGCCGTAATCGATGCTGGTGGCGCAGAGATGTTACAAGAATCACCATGGTGAGCCCATGCGTCATGTCCCCAGGAGTTTCCACCTAAGCTAGTATCTGCGTCCGCAGGACCTTGCAGGTCAGCCGTTCTGCCAAACTTCAATTCACCCTTTGACCCTGTGCAGATTCAGGCTGTCGTCTCTGTGAGTAACCGCTCATCTCATGTCTCCGGTCTTGCGCCTCACCGATTTGGCAGTCGCTTCTGACTGTTCTCGTGCAAGGGTTCGTAACATGCTTGAATACTCGTTGGTATCTCATGGTCATACCACTCTTACAGCTTCTTTGCCTATCGCATCTACATCAGTATGTCGCGTGCCAGAGGCTTCTGTACTGCGTCGATGCTCACGTCTTGCAATCTAGTTGGTAGAAAGCGCGTATTCATTCCGCTTTTCATCGTGGGCTTCTATATTTACCGCTATATTCGACCTTCGGTGATTGATGCGATGATGCATCTAGGTTGCCATCACGACTACGCAGTTAGGTGAGCACAATTGGAACCTATTACCCCGCTTCTGGAGTTGATTATCTTCACAGGGCTTGTGCTCAGTACGACTGTCTTTCTCATTTTGAGTCGTGACTACTTACAACCAGTTCCTACCAGCCCTTGCTATCAGAGGGTGAGTCTATCTCGCCTGTATCGGACGAGACCGGCGCCTGATTAGCTACAGAATCATTGACAGCTCGTTCACCAACAAGAACGGACTGGTGCGTGGAGAAGTCTGTCGCAATATCCGAAGCCTCACGCGCTTAATAGGCTTACATACTCGGAGGCCTCGCAATCGATCTTGCGAGCGACTGTATCATCGCTGCGGCTATGATCTACTACCTGTGCACTGGACGCACCGCGGTACCTGCGTGAGCCGCTTGATAGTCATGACAATACGAATAAGACATACTCATAATCGCCAGCACCAACCGCATCGTCCATCTTCTCCTGAAGTACACAATCAATACCTGTGCGTGTTTGACGGTTGATTCCTACGGTATAAGACTAACGCTTACTCACTTCAGGTTTACTTGAGGCGTACGTCGTGTCTGTCGTAGGTAAAGAGATGCTCCGCGCTGAGATCATGTTCAATCAAGCCTTTGTTCGTTGCCGTGTTTGCTTGTGGTGAGTGTTTCGCGAGCTGTATAGAACCCTGAACTTTCTGACCGAAGTTTTAGTCGGCAATTCTCACCACTTCACTGGACTACACGCCGTTCTACTTCGTACTTACCCGATGTGGGTCACGACAGTTGTGGTCATGTTCATCCGGAATCTAACCGTGCGAATGTAGTGTACTCATGCTCGCTGCTTTGCTCGTACGGCTGTCATCCATCATTCACATCGGCGCAGCGTTGACTGATGACATTCTGACAGGTTGAACACCCGGGCGCACCTGCGCGAGATCAATGACACTCAGGTTG